CAGTAGTGAATAATTAGATATTTAATGTTTAAATTAATATCACGACCTTCAGTGGGAGTTGTTAAACTTTTATACGCAACCATTAAGCATTTTGTTCTGGAGTCGCGGACTTTTACGTCATGAGCTCGAATCCAATGCTGTTATTGGAATGAATGTGATCTGAAAGACTGATCCCAGGAGCAAGAAACAGTATAGGTTTAAGTCAGAATTTACATTGTGACGTTCTAGAATTCTTTTGAAGAAAACAGAAGATAAAAACTGATAAACCCAGGTCCCATGCTGTCACGATAAAGATCCCTCACTGCTCTGCTCAATGGCAGCATGACCGTAGGAACCGTGGGGGGGGGGGCACGGGGGGGGGGGGCGTGCCCCCCCCCCAATAATTTTGCCGATATATAGATTACTATATTAAAAAAAAGCTACTATATGCCTGTGCCCCCTCAATAAATACGTCTGATGACCTTTTTTTGCTTGTCAAGAAATTTTTGGTAGTTGATAGTGCCCCCTCAACTGAAAATGTATGGCTGTGCCCCCCCCCCCCCCCAAACTGAAATTGCTTCCTACGGGCCTGGGCAGTATATGCTGAGTGCAGGTCTTAATGTGCTTTTTTTTCCAGCGACAGACAGTGGTGTTCCATTATCAGTAAAAAAAAATCTCGAAGAGACGTAAGAGCAAGCAATTATTCCTCTGCAAGTAAGCTTCAAGTCTTTAAATACTTTGCTGATGTTACAGGTGTTACAAAGCGCTATAAATGGTAAAAATTTAGCGACCTTCACCTCGTTTCAAGGGCGGCATTTTGAGTATCGCAGCTTGTGGCCTTGGGGTTAATCAGCGACCTGCAGAATTTTTTTTCTGAATTTAAACATTAAAAATAATTCAAAATCAGCAAGAATACGATATATTAAGGTGTAAATTATGAAAGTATACCCCCATAAGCAAATTTCTAAAGCAGGGTCTGGGTCACCAAGCCTGAAATAGGCAAACTTCCATGGTGAGGGGGTCTGATACCCTAACTCCCTCACGCCACTGGATCCGCTCTTGCAGGATTTTTTTCTTTCTGATCAGTATTCAGAATTTTAAAAGGATGTTGCCTTGTATAAAATTTACATATTCACATGTAAGAGCAATAAAAATTATTCCTTACGTAATTGTAATTATCTATCTTGGCACAGTCATTGATAAAAGAAAGGAAAACGAGAGTTTCCATGATCCGCACAGGACGTAAATCTATCAATCACTAGCGACTCTAGAGCAAACAGAGCGGGATTTAGAGCAAACACTGCCCCACGAGGACGACGATATAACTTCTGAGTGAGAGAAGAGAGGGTGTTCATTTTAACATGTGCATGCATTTCCTGTGACAAAACATCTCTAAATATACTGTGATTTTTAACCTCATTACCCTGACCTTAAAGTCTGACCTAATTTACACTGTGATAACTTTTAAATGAGAGAAGATTATCTTTTATATTCGATGTGCATTACATGTTTCAAGACCTTTCCGAATGTACATATACTCTGGATTTTGACCTTAAGTTTAGACCACAGTCTTTTTGAAATTTACCCAGGTAAGCAACTGCATCCCAACCACTAAGACACTAAAAGCGGGGAACACCTATTCTTTGAACTTGCTTGATTCAAAATCTATTTTTATACGTGTATAAGCATTCAATACATCAAAGTTGTCAATGTTTAGCATTCCACTGGCTATAAATAAATAAATAAATAAATTTATTAAAAATAAAAAAAAAATGGTAGGAACGTAGGTTAATGAAAAAAAGTGGATGAAAGGTCATTTCAACAAGTTCAACGTCACTGGTAGAGAAACTGTAATACATGTAATCATTAATTTGCTGCCCATCACATTCAAATGGTGAAAAATTGAAAGTAAATACTTCAAACAAAGATTGTTTATAACGTGAGAATGTGTCATGACCTTGACCTAAGGTCTTTTTGTCAAGTACAAGTTAACTTCCACAAAAATACAACTCCTGTCCAAGCCATATCTTTTCCTGAAAAAAAAAAAAAAAAATAGGAATCCATGCTTGACAGTTACAAATTTAGGCTGTATTATGACTTTCGCCTAGTCATTTGGTAGGTTCAAGGTTTTCAACATCTCCCAGCCCTGGCGCAAGACCTACTCCTTGCTTTGCAACAAGCTTTGCTCTTATTTTAATTTTTTTTCTGTCTACTTTGAACAAATTTAGACGTACAAATGTTGCAGACAACAAACCTGATGACATTTGTGAAATGGGCCGCTATTCTTGGTTAAAAAATATTACCATTATTGAATTATATGGAAATAGCTAGAGAATGTGTTCGCCATTTAATCGGGTATATTCTCACCTGCAGGACATAGAAATACGGCAAGTTAAAAAACAGTGAAAGCGTGACATTTTAGTCCAAGGGAAAATAAAATCCTACATGTTAACTTGAAGAACGATATTCTGATTTGAAAGATTGAAAAGTTGGAAGATTGTAAAGTTGGAAGATTGAAAAGTAAGAGAATGATAAAACAACTAAACATTATATTTTAAATCTTAGTAAGAAATTTCGTGTTTTTGACAGTAACATTAAATCTTTTTAATGATAATCAGCAAAACATGCATCAAGATTCCCATCAAATAATAAAAACGAAGACAATTTTCTTGCTCATAGATCTTTCCTAACGAGAACGGGACTTATAGCTAGGATAAGGATCTATAAAGGAGATGGGCGAACATAGCGTGCAGAAAGCCTATAGCTTCAGAAATATAAAAATCATGTTCAGTTTGTGAATTTAATATTTAAAGTAAAGTTCTCATTATTGAAATTTATGAAATTGTGATAAACAAAACTTTTCTGAGGAAAAATTTATTCTTTTATTAAAAAAATTAATGTGGTATTCGTGGGATTCGAACCCTAACAATAAAAATTCTGAGTATCATTTTCTTTCGAGACTAGCACGCTAACCACTAAACTACACAAGTCCTGACGAACAGTGACATTTAAATCATGTTTGTGTTATGACCCTTGACTTAATGGACTTCAAGTATTTCTCGAAAAGATGCGAATGTTATGTCATAAAAGTATATTTTTAAGGTATAGTGGGTCATTGCTCCATATTTTTGGTAACCAAAACATGTATATTTTTTATGCAAACTTTGAGAATTAAATTTCAAAAAGGTGGAGCGAAGACCCACTCATATCGAAAAATAGTGTTATAGTATGCGAAAATGACTCTTTTTGCACTCTTTAGTGTGTGTCTAATATTTCACAGGCAAATAATTTCAATCTTTGAGGGATTTTTGCAAATTGTAGAGATTTTACATAAAGTATATTTTAATGTTAGACGAAATATCAAGGAAAATTTTGATATAATTGAAATTTAATTTTTCAACTTCATGTTTGTCACACTTTAGGCTTATCGCTCATCATGTTCACCCATCTCTTTACCAATTAAAGTACATGTGACAGGAATTTTGCAAAAGTCCAAGTAACAAAGGAACACAAGTGATGAAACCGACATTATTGACTTTTTTAACATGTTTCATAGCACGACCATATCATTGTTAAGTTTTCTTCTTATTTCCATACCTTATTTTATATATATATAAAAAAAAAAAAAAAAAAAAAAAAAAAAAAAAAAACTCTTAAAAATATTTTTACTGAATCAGGATGGGTTTTTAAGTTTTTTTTTCATCTACTGCTAAATATTACTAGATCCATACTTTTAGATTTATCATCGTATTTCCATTTTTATGGAGTGATGTAATTGTTCTAGGTACCAAACCTTTAATTATTCTTTGGATATTTTAAAATAGGTTGTATATACTAATATAATGCAATGTTGAAAAGGGTTTATAACATAGTTGTAAGTCAAGGAAAGTAAAATGCGGATTTGTTTAAAATCTATTTTTACACGAAATAGCTGTTAAAATTATGAAAATAACAGTGAAAACGAAGAAAAAATCCATGTTATAGGGGAAAAAAAATATTTTGGCTTATGGAAGAACTGCAAGATGAAGAATTCTACTTTTATATTCATGAAGGAAATATCTGATAATTTTCTGCACTGTGAACAGATTGAATATAAATCTATCAAAGCACGTCACATTATCAAGGAATTCTACTAGAATATCGTTTGCCCGAATTACATGATAAAAATGGTATTAAAACAGCAATTACATATGTACATCGCAATTGTAAAATCTAAAATTACACATTTTTGCTTCGAATGTCTTATTATTATGCAATTGAACTAAAGCAGATTAAACTGATGCCTTAGTAGTGAGTTTATATGTTTATTCATTTATGAGTATTTAAGGATTCGAGAATATAAGCAGAATAAAAGATATCGCTATTTATCCAATGTTTACCCCTTTATCCCGTGGATATGACTCATTGGATATTTTTTTCATAACCCACAGTTAAGTGCAGTTGTGACGTCACAATGGTTTTTGCGTTAGCATGATGAAGTAAAATAAAGTGGAGTCCTATATAAAACAGTGTTAAACATTGGTTGTGAAGTATTAAACATGGGATAAAAAGAATCTCCCATGATTTGTAGTTGGATATGACTTTGTGTGTTTTTTATCCCCTCGCCAAGGCTCGGGGATAAAAAAAACACACAACTCGTTGGATAAAAAGAGATAAAAGAGATATTGTGACGTTATTTTTTTTTCTTTTCTTAAATAAAAAGAAATACCCTCTGACATTGGTGTCACTGTGCCTTTAAAATTCGAGATTTCTTATATAATTATTTGAAAGAATTAAGGTTCACTGATACTATAATAAGAGAAATAACTCTTAATGACATACATAACTATCATTCATAAATATCTTTTCAAGTTGAAATGACTTTTTTGTCCAATTTTGCACCGCAAAGTATACTATAATTGTCGTTTTTACTGCCTTAATGTAGTAAGGTCTTGAATCATCATTTATTATTAATTCAACTATCCCAGCTTCCTTAATTGTTTACACAGCTAATCCAAACTGTAATGTATTTATATACATACCCCAAACCTGATTGTCCGTCCGGTAGTAGATCACTATGTTATGTATGCTTCGAATGTCTGTGAGGTTAACCCACCAGGTGGCATTGGTCTTTTTATCAGTTGATACACTACACTCCCCCCCGGTATATGATAGGTCTGTTCTCAATCCGTCAACAGCTTTATTAGGACCGGATTGTTTGACGTCATGTGATGAACTCTGCCAAGTGGGCTCCAGAAAAGCCAGATTTTCTAAAGAAATGGAAAAAGTTCTTTACATACAAGACAAATATTGCGTTGAGAATAGTTTGCTTGCATGTGAAACTGGAGTACCATTCGTCATTTTTTTTGTCACTACATGTTTTAACTGTAGTACTTGAATTAAGTTACAATACAAACATTTCTTTTCAAATAATTCTTGTTTTCATATAAAAAAAAATGTTGACCGAAAATTAATTTGCACAAAATTGAACTCAACACCAAGTGTACTAGGCAATTATAAAACAGACACAAATGCTCACATACAGCAGATAATACAACTTCGACCAGTTTTTCGTTGAAGTATCGCTAAATAGATATAAGCACCTTCCGCATCCAATTCATTTAAATTATCGGTTATCCAAGTTATCGGTTTTGGCACTTTATAATATTTATTTTGTATTTCAGGTTGTAGTTACATGAAACATGACTCTCTGTTTATCTAACCTGACTTGAAAAAAGTAAGAGTGAAATAAGTGGGAACCAGATCCGCACTTGAATAAGAGAGACGCATAGATACTGTATACAGTGTTTATTTTCACCTCCTGTTATTTTCACACTTTCAGAATTGAGCTCCGATTAAAATTCGGCTTGACAGAGTTGTGTTAAAGAGATCATATTGTTCTTTGAGACATTACAGCCGTAATAATTGCCTATTTATATAAAATACCATGCAATTTATAGGGTCATCCAAACATTAAAAATATGATTTAAAATGATTAACTTTCAGAGAGAAGCGTCTTAAATTTGCATGTTAGTGGCTCACAGTAAGTGGTGGACGACAAAGATCCCATAAGGAGGACAGGTCTAAATTTGCAGTGTCCAACCGGCAATAAGAAATATCTTCATATAACTGAAACATTCGCGAGGAGATCTAGAGCAAGCATTGACGCAATTACAAAGCTGTAAAGCGGATGTCAAATAGGAATGAAAATCAATAGAACAAATATGTGAAGAAAAAAAAAGATTGATTGATAATTCATATTTGTTATTTAAAAAACCTTAATATACTTAATCATAGCAACCCGATTGGAGGATATACTTGAATCTTATTTTACCAACGAGCAGAGTGTCTGGCTACTATATGCTTTTTTCAGGCCTTGCAAGCTATACACAGTCCTTTGCTTTGTATGTGTATTTAAAATTTTAATGACAGAATTATCCAAACAAAATATTTGATATGGCATATCTTTATTTTATTACCATATTTGATATGTTATACCTCTTTAAGATATGCATTTCTTGTTTAATTGTCACAGATATATAAATAAATTTGACTACATTGGGACTGCCTAGATTTAGATACTACCTGCATTTTAAATACGTTTTAGCAGTCTGTACATATTGCAAACATACACATAATTGCTGTCTCCCTTGCTCGACGACATTGTTTTTTTCATCTCGTGTAAGAAGATTTTCTTAACTGCAATTCATCATTTCTGTTCATTTTCATATAGAAATCTCATTTTGTGTGCTACCAAAGAAATCGAGAATTTAAATCAAGTGCTACCAAAGAAATCGATAATTTAAGGACATTGGCAAGGTTCCTGGTTATTGTATAGAATTTTTCAAGAACTTTTGAGTAGGTTAAAATGTACTAAACAGGTTATATTCTGGATCGTTTTACCTACATGTACCAATCCAACAATCCAACGTTTGTCAAGTTAGTGTTTTTACAATTCTTAATGCATTTTCTATGTAAAATGTTGATAAAAGGGACCTACATAATTTTTCACCATAATATTTCTTCAAAACCCATTTATTTCATAGAGTTTTTGTATTATATACATTATTGTATCTTCATTTCCTATGACCAATAGATATTTTGGCTGAAAATGTATATATAGAAACAAGACATGGATATACCGGTACCGATCATCATTTTTGAGTTGCGTCCCTTAACAGCTAAAATTGGTCAAGAGACTGGCTGATTGTTTTTATCATATAATTGACTGAATTGATAGAAACACACTGTCATAAAAATATTGGCATGGATTTATTTTTAACTTTTATTCGTAGTTACTTAATGCTGATTCCTTCACACATCCTAAGAACTGTTCTCAATCGGCATGGTCGACCTACCTTTCACCATATGTCAAATCTTCCCCGCATACTGAGCATTACTATGGTAAATGACGGCCTGTTGGCTCTTTGTCCCTCAATACAATGTACAATTACTGTACAACAAAGCCATTACTACTTTTCTTTTTTTGATGTATAGATGATTCTACCCGTTTGAAGTAAGTACACGTGCTTTTGTTTACCTCTGTAACATACGCTTTATTGGTTTTCACCGCTTAGAGAATTCTACATGGGAGATCACTCTCAATCACTATTTCATAAGTGAAAAAAACCCATGTATTAAACCTTTTTTCTCCGGAAAACCCTGACTTGCCACTGTCCTTAAGTCAAGCTTTTTTCGTAGCCTTTAGTTTTATTCATTTATAGAATGTTTGAAACACAAATGAATTAATTTAAAACATCCACGGATAATTTCAATAGAATTCATTCCTGTCTTTTTAAATGTATTATTTGGGCTATTTACTTACATCATTTTATCTTACGTTACTTCAACTAGAATACAATATCTTCAGTACAAGCTAGCAATGACATTTTTGGGTGGATTGCTATGGCATGATTTTGATTTTTGTTCTGTTCTTGAAATTCTTTAACAATGCTTTACAAACCTGAGATTTCTCCTTTTCTGTAGATTCTATAAACAATTTCGGTCAATTTGAGTCTTTCCATACATATGTAGCAATTGTGTGTTTTTTGTTTTTTGTTGTTTTTTTTCCTTCATGGAAATATGTTTCCTTGATTTTATTTGGGAATACCTTGAATACTCTCTAATTCACTGTTAGCTTCATTTTTTTTTTTTTTTTTTTTTTTTTTTTTTTTTTTTTTTTATAGTTATGCATTTTTGATTTTCTGTAAAATATGCTAATACTACCATTTAGCACGAATAAAGTACAGTTTATACAGAATATAACCTTTCGAATGATAGTTAGCTATTCTGCTAGCACTTTTTCAAAGCAGTGTACACATTTTTTTTTTATTGTGCAACTTTAAAATATGAACTCTTTTATGTAGTCACACTGTACTACTCTGTCAAAGTTGTTTAAAATTAATTATCAAAAGGATATTTCATATATTCTAAGGGAGGAATATCTTGATGCACCCCTTAAGGAAACAGTATCATTATTTCTTTATTTTCAGACCCTACAGCCTATTCAGGTGTAATTACCTCTGCGTGAAGAAAATGAGACACAATCTTAAGAACTAGCAATGGGAGATTCTGTATGCAACGATTTCTATTTTTGTTTGACATGATTTACAGGTCAAGTAAGAGGTGTCCATAGCATGAGAGATAAAGCACTTCTTTTTAAATATCCTTAGCACGCAACAAATATGTATATCATAAATCATTCTACACACTATGATTTATAACAGAACAAACACGATCAGACATTGCAAAATTCGATTATATCATTCGTGAAATCTAGGGTACCTGTAAAATGCGAAACGAAATAGAAACGAAACGGACCGAAACGAAACGAAACGAAATCTACCGAAACGAAACGAAATCTTACGAAACGAAATGAAACCTACCGAAACGAAACAAAACGAAACAAATCAAAACGATACTTACCGAAACGAAACAAAAACGAAACGATATCAAAACGAAACCTACCGAAACGAAACGAAAACTACAGAAACAAAGAACGAAATAAAATCGAGCAAAAATGAAATATATATATATAAACATTATGATTTAAAATATATTATATAGTGTATATTTTATAAGTAACGAGTCTCTTTTGATACGCAGTGAAAGATAAAAAAAGATTTTGTGCGTTTCTAAATGTGAACATTTGTAAGTATGGATTACACTTTTAAATAGATATTGCTCATTTTAGTGCAAAACAAACACATTAGACTAAGCCTATACATATAACCCAAGTTATCACTTTCGGGTTCTTGTTAATACAATCCATTTGAATGTATACTTGTATACTCAAAATCAGATTTTAAGACCTGGCGATTCTTGGTCTGCTTTTGTCCAACACCAAACTATATCAGATCACACACTTTTATAAACAGTAATTTTAAAGCTTAGGATAAGCTTTTTAAAAAAAATAATAATAATACGGTAAAATTGCAACATCAAATTGAAATTAAATTCAAAGCATACATTTATCGAAATTAAAATTTAATTTTCATAAAATCATTTGAACAAGCCTTGAAACCACCAGAAGGGGGGGGGGGTCCTTCTCGGAACTATCTCAAATTAAAAAAAAAAATCTGGACCCGACAATAATCAAAAGTATAATAATAATTAGGGCTAAGGCTTTGTATAATTGATCACATATGTATAAATAACAGTAATGCACTTTTTTTCATTTAACTCAATGTGTACAGTTTTTTGTTGTTGTTGTTTTTTTAAGTTATGTTTAAAGACATTCGCAATACAACAGTACAGTAACTTTATTTCGATACGTAAATAGAAAAGCTTTTACATGTAGCACATCAATTATGAGAAATTTATTGTATTTCGATGGTTAAAGGCTAAAAATAAAAGTAAGACATAAAAATTAGAGAATACTACGCTTATTTTGAAATGAGTATTTTGAAATTATATAGTATGCTCGTGCATATTTGTAGCTGGCAGTTGATTTACAGTATATATAAGCATGTATAAGTAAATACGTCACTAGAGAAGGAAGCATTTATCGGTGTTTAAATATTATATTAACAAGTGCTTGAACTATATAAATTTTATATGAAGTAAAAATAGCCCATATACAGTTACACATTATATATAATGATATACCTTGATTTGAAAAACATTCTGCTTCGTTTCGTTTCGGTAGGTTTCATTT